CCTAGGCAACCGCACCACATACAAATCACGCCCTGACGACCCGGACTCTTGCGTGCACCACATACCATAGGTGTCACCCATCACACCAAACGCACACGTACACTAGACAAGGTATGACATCAAACAACAGAGTCTACAAGACACGAACCATGTTTAATAAAACGTGACAGTAATAAGCGATCCTGACTTGTGTTACCGCTAAAAGTCGTATCAGAGGAGTAGACTGCAAAGCAACTTACTGGTTGTGCTCCACCATGTTAATGAGAGTGTGCAAGTCGCTTGCCAGCAATACTGATCTCGTACAGCTGTGAGCCCTTGGGCGCCATCGCACTCTGTGGAGAAGTCTATGGAAAAGCACAATGAATGTGTGCTGCCCAACTAGAGAATTCGCCAGACTTCAAGATGATACATGAATCGTTTGTAGGTCTTTTGTCCTCCCATATGCTTCAGCAATGATGTGTGGTACTATTCAGGTCTTATTGTATGTTGACGGGAATTGGACGTCTTCTTTAGTTTAATGTTTTCTTCTCTATGCGCTGCATTATCTGATTCTACTTGATAGTTTACTGTAAGAGTTGAAAGTGTGACGAGTCTAAAGTTTAGCAATTTGCAAAACATTCCCACTTAGCAGGCGCAAAGTTAAGCGATCCTGCAATCACACACCTGTCTTCTACATCTCTAGTACAGAGGAGAGAAGGAATAACATGCGTACTAGTATTATGTTTATTGAGTTTAACGATGGAATCTTTCTCATGAAAACGCAAGACTTTGTGGCCCATTAGAAATTCAACTCTCACAGTATTCGAATTCTTTGGCAGTTCATGTTCATGACCATGCTGCTGATCCTGCAGAGAAAATTGCAGAAATTAAGTGTGATAGTTACACAGTACATTCGCTGATCCCCAGAACAACTGTTCATACTCACGTATTGCTCACTGTCTCTGGTGTTATCACGATCATTACACACACAGTCCTGTTTGTCTGAGCCGTAATATCGATATAAAGTCAGACCTCGCATAACTGCACACATCTGTTTTCCACAAAAAATATCCGGATAGGCGAGGGAATCGAACACGCATACTGTATGTATGCATGGCATGTGCTATAAATCGGCAACCAACCATTTTCTTCCGGATGGCGAAAGATCCGGATACAAGAGTACCGCATAAGTGAGATCTGACTGTACCCAATTTATGCAATGAGATCTATGAATATGTGTCTGCATGGAGGAAGCAGACACACAAGGACAGGCACACTCTATGCTCACAAGTGCTGCCATGCGTACATCAGTCAGTATAATTGCCTGCAAGACCTCTCATCCTATGACATACAGACTTGACTCGAGATCCACTGCGCATAGTAGCAACTTTTGGAAACGTTCCCTATTACATGAAGGGATCATGAAAAGCTGCTCATCCAAGTCTGTTATTCGTGACGTGCCATTAATCATACATTGATAAACTGCTGTACTCCAAGTGTCCACTGCTCATAGCAACACATGAAACAGCACTCCAACAATAAAACATTGCCTAGCAATCCAAAAATAGAGATGATGGGTTAGCCTTGCGGCTAACAACAGTTAGTGATAAGAATGATGCACTGCTCTCTATCGCGCGCTTCAACTGAGTTTGCTTTACGTGTGCATTCAACGGCTGCGGATGTGCTCCCAAACCGCCTTAGTTACAGTAGACTCGTACGCCCAAGAACGTAGCGCCCAAGAACGTCCAGGCTGGAAATCTAAGAACGCCCCAGCCTGGATTTAAGAACGAACTCCAAGATTTTTAAGAACGCAACGTTTTGGTATTGCACGTTTTGCAAACGGATTGGACCTTCATGATCTTGTTCGAGTACGAAAAACAAGTCCGCAACCACAAACTCTTGCCGGGTCCTCGCGAAAACATCACCCAGTGCAGCGCTACATACTACACGTGCATGTAAAGTTAAAGTGTACAACCGGTACATGTAGCGCAAAGTGAATTGTACGTGAGCGTCACGGGTCATGTTGGATGCGTGAGAACGCGAAATAAGAACGCAGCCTGGGGCGCTTAAAAAAATAAGAACTTTGCTAGGCTGGCCCTCTGAAACCGCGTTCTTGGGCGTACGAGTCTACTTTAGCTCTTGCTGCGTTGACTTTGGCTCACGCTTTCCTTTTTTGGCTCCCTGAGCAGCCATGCATGGGATTCTAGGTGCCACCACTAGGTGGTACCTAGTGCCACCACCCTCCAATTCACATTATACTTCAAGTGAGAAGAGCTTCCATTAACTGGTGCCTATGCTGCTACTATCTGTGCTTAAGTTAAATTACACACTATTGGTCAGTTGTTTTGTGACGTAAATCAGTATAGTCATTGCATCCGGTTGCAGGATTCATTGCCGCACAAGCATGAGCGATTGATTTGGTTGTTTGCAATGCCAATTGCTTCACCCTGGTTGGCTGTTTGCAACGTGGATCAGGAACCTTTTCACCTGGTCCAGGGCAATGTTGCGGCTCACTCATGAGCGATTGCCTATTTGCAATGCCAATTGCTGCACCAGTTAATCGAAACCAGCACACTGGTGTAGCCAGACTATGCTTAAGCCGTGTTATGAGAATACACAGGTATGCAACAACTTCACTCTGTGGCGTTCCATTGCATGTAGTCCCTCGGCTATCTCTAATGTACCTTAGGACCTGATTTCAACTTTCATCAAAATGTGACGTTAAAGTTACTCAAAGAAAACGCGACCGCGATCGTGAAGGCAATGAAGTCAAAGACGAAGTCGATCTTGAATTTTTTTGTTTGCAGGTTTGATCGATCAATCGATCGATTTTAGGTAGTCAGAATGGCGCGTAATGATGTAGGATTGAGTTTGTCGGTGTGCCGCATGAGGACGCGTCTCTCCTAGATGAGCACGACGAGATGTTCTACTGCGATGTCTCCCCGGGAACGATGACAGTGAACGCGATGATTGCGATGACAGAGACAACAACCCGATCGCACCTGCGGCAGAAAAGCGCCAGTTCCGTCCGTCTGACAATGACAAAGATGAGAGTTACAATGACTTGGAGCAGGAAGGTCCGCGTGTCGAGGAAACCCTTATCACCGCAGAGATAGTGGACTGGATGTCAATCGGATGCAGCTGCCCTGGTGACAATCACTTTGCTGCACTTTACAAGGACCTCTTGAAAATCTTGTCATGTCGCACCGCCAGCTGAAGCGCTGCTCTCGCCAATGTCACGCCCACTCTTCAAAAAGTACGGACTGGATGAACTGGCTGCCTCAGTGACTGCGGGATTCGCAAACCCGGCAACAATTATGATACTGCATACATGTACATAGCCGAATTTGACAACTATAGTGCATTCTACAATATAGAGAATTCAAGGTACTTGCAAGGCTAATATTGATTTGAAAGTTTGTCACATGAAAGTCTACATACTAAAGACTTTAAGTACATTGTCCAAATAAAAAGGCAATTTCAAAAATTTCACCCCAAAGGTCCATTTACTGAGATCATGGCTCAATTGTTAATGGAGAGGTTTTGCATTCCGAATTTCGGAATTATTTTCGGAATTTGGCGGCAGGAGTCGAAAATGTAGTTGAACTTTCGGAAGTGGTGGCGAAAGTGCATGGTTTTCCGAAAATGGATTTTCGGCTCTTTCCTGTTTGGGAGCGCATACACGTATTTGAATATGTGTGTATTTTTGTTTTCTGCTGCTCTCGCTGATTATAATTATTTGAAAATTTTCCACGTACCGTATTTTTCGGAGTATAGTGCGCACCTTTGTATAACGCACACCCCCAATCTTCATTGGGGGTGCGCACTTCAATCTTCATTGAAGTACATGCATTTCATATTGGGAGTATAGTGCGCACCTGCGATTTAGGGCCTAAAATAGCACATCTAAAGTGCGCACTATACTCCGGAGAATACGGTACACGTGTAGTTTGGGTTTTTGCTGCTCTCCCTGATCTCGCCATGTTGACTAATCTTCTCACGCTCCATCACACTCTATCTTCCTTTGCCATGGAGCCTACTGACAGTACAAGACAGTAGTTCGACAACCTCGTCTTCAGCCGTTGGATTACTCGGTTCACCATCAATCCGTCCTCGTCTTCGAACCGCACCCAAATTCAGTTTGACCTGCACATGGATTTGATCCTGCTCAGGCCACTCCTACATGTATTTTGTGCTCAACCCCTTAGTTCGCGGCTCTGTGGGATCCGAAGAGACTGCAAACGTTCTCGCCTTGTCTGACCCAAAATTTGCTGGTATCAGGAAGTCCGTCAGAGAACACCATGAACACACGCTGCTGCTGTTGGACCATCACGCCTCGAAACCGAATATGCAAGATTCGGAAGCAAAACGTTTTCGGTTTTGGCACCTTCGACGCTTTCCATTTTGTTTTGCATGGCAACCTTTGGAAACGAAAGTGAATTAGATTTTCGGAATGCAAAACACTGAAAATGCCGTTTTTCGCCACGCACTTTTTTTCGGAAAAACACAGTCGAAAAACATTCCGAAATTCGGAATGCAAAACCTCTCTAGTTTTAAGAACCACCATCATAATAAAAAGCTGAATTGCCAGGTATGAAAGCTTTTTTTCTTGGAAGAACAAACAAATCATAAAAAAATTCACTAAGTCTGTGATGGACAAAGAAGAAAAGGGGATACAAATATCGCGGTTGATGATGGACAATGATGGAATTTCAAAAAACCTAGTTATTGTACAGCTCTCATCAGGAAGAAAACATTGTTCTAAATAACACAAATTAGGCCAGAGAAATAACGCCTGTAACAAGGCTCTCATCCGCACCCTGACACTCTCCTATCTCAACTCACTGCCTGACACTCTCCTATCGCAACTCACTGCCTGCCTCTTCGCTTCCTGTGCTGTACCCCTCTGTACTCTCATCCTCCCTGTCCAACTGCCTATCAAGCCTGCTGCAACACTCTGTTCACCTCTATGTTGACTGTATTCCTTGTTGTTGTGGAAATCAAATGTGTTTCTCTTCCAGGTCCTACATCAGGATGGGTCCTACGTGAAAACGATTGGTGCTATCGGATATTCGTTTGGTGTTGCAGCACTATCTCTGCCCCAGCATGGTATTTGCTATGCTGTAACCGATATCGATGACCATTGTGTGAGAGTAAGTTAGTGCTTGTGTGGTGTTTATTGCTGAGATTTCTCAGAATTCTAATGTGAAGGTTGCTATGATTAGTCCCAAAATGCACTTTTTCTCTGTTCTCACAGCAGAGAAAGTAAATAGGTACTGAATAGATTGAATGCTGTAATCGGTAACCAAGATATTGAGCAGCTGAAACATTCAATACACTTGAGGGAGAACTGGATGTATAGAGACCTTTCGCATCTGCTGCGAATCGACTAAGTAATGAAAGTTTGATTCGGCTTGTCCTCGTTTCGTTGAAAACAGATTCATATTTCGCAAGTCATCATGCAAATATCCATGGTGACAACAAATTTGGCTGGTAGCTTGGCATACGCATGTTTACACATACACGTACACGTAGAATTAAGGAAAAATGTGTACCTAGCAAAAAAGGTGTATCTGACGAATTCGCAGCATGCCACGAATGCAGAGGCTTCCATTTGTGAAACGAGCTCTTCGCAGGGACTCTGACGAATCCTCGAACTGAGGTGACGAATCAGCATTCGTTTTGTATATGTACGTGTGGTGCTACAGGTGCCATATATCTTTTCTAAAACTCCTCCTTTTCCCAACACAACACCAGCACAACACAAAAACCTCTAGGAGAAAAAATATGTAGTACAGATAATACAGGTTAGCAGTAAAGAGAGAAAAAGAAGAACAAGAGGAAGAACAAAATCACCAGCACTTTGTCCAGGAAAAGACAAGTGGAACAAGGCATACAAAAGGGCGGCAGAACAACCAGTAATATCTCGTCGCGGCTGAAGCAGCTAATGCAGCGACAGTCACCGCGAAGTGCATGAAATAAATCTGAACATTAAGTGAAGAAAACACCAACTCCAACAAAGAAACAAAACAAGATCAGCTACCTCACACCGTGACTAACCTCAGCGTAAACAGCATTCGGCCTTTGAAAGTGTCTGCATTGATATTCACCATCATCGTTGTGCTCTGTAGCCGATGACACACATTGGACAAGTGTATTGGACAAGTGAGTAGATACTCACTTGTCCAATACAGGGCAAAAGAGGTTCCTTCGAGCATTGAAGTTTTATTCCTTCTGGCAGATGTTTTGGTCACTGAGACTTCAACAGAGACGGTTGAGTTGTTCAATGGCTGGAAAAGAAACAATCACCTAGTTTATGCTGACTGTTCCATGACTGTATGAACGTGAGCTAAATGATACACGCGCTAGAAGAGAGAGCCGATGGTGCAGTGTAGATAGGGAGAGCATGGGGTTGATGCCAGGTGAACTACAAGTACTAGCATGACTGCTGTATCCGTGCTGTGTTGCAGTATCCGTGCTGTGTTGCAGTATCCGTGCTGTGTTGCAGTATCCGTGCTGTGTTGCAGTATCCGGCAGTAACTATCACCTCTTTGCAGAGTGTCCCATGATTTCAGAAACCAGTTAACATTTTAACACCTTGCATTCACACTTCGAGTATCAAGTGCACGCTCATCAGCGCACTATCTCTCATTTCAAGTGCCAATATAACCTATTTTAACGAGTGGAAGGTTCGATGGATATCTCGTGCACCCTAGATGGCAGTCATGAGTTAGGCAAGTGAGAATTCAAGTTGGCAGGGAAATTGCGAGCTCCCATGTAAGGAGCAACACACATTTACCCAAGTAATTCACTGAAGTCGCACCAACATCTTCTTCACAGTATAAAATAGGCGACTATTTATTTTCCAGTCATTCAACAACTCAACATTTCCTGACGAGGCCTTAGTGATTGAAACGATTATGAGAAGGAATAAAACGTCACTGCTGGAAGGAGCCTCTTGTTGCTGTTGTGTGCAAGCGAGTGGATGTATGTGGTCCTCCACAGAGTGTAATAATGGTGGTAAAATAAAAATGTCAACGCAGCTACGTGACTATCCACAACAAAGACATAAGCAATGACATAATCGGTCACGCTTGAATACAGCATGCAGCCTTGCTGGCGCTGGTAAAATGGATAACACAGAAAACACAGAACTAAAAATAACATAACAAGCGATCCTTCAACTTGCCTCAGACAGAACGCACTGGCTCGGCGTTGTCGACAGATGCATGACCCTCATTTGATTTTTCATATGAGCTATATGCGTGCTGTATTATTATTATTATTATTATTAAGCGATCCTTGCAGGGAAACAAATAAAATTCGAATAAACTATTTCAAAGAATGATGAAAAGTGAAACGACTAGCACTAAAATGAGAACAGAACTCAGAACAAGAATAATGTAGGCCAAGTGGAAGCAGATAAGGATTGGTCCGGCCATGCCTAAAGTGATCATGGGTCATATAGTTAGTCAATCATACACCACTGGAGCAACGGCCAAAACCTGGCACTTACCTGGTATGGGTGTGTCTGTGAGGTTGTATCGAAACCACGGAGTAGAAAAACAACGGTTTTACAGTCGAAATGGTTTATTGACCCAGTTATATAAATGCTATTGAAGTCTGCAGCAGTCACATCTTGAACAGTCAGACAAGCATATATGCACGACTGTTCAAACGCCGTGTTTGGGTAGACAGCCACTGCTGGCAGGGACATTTTGGCAGAACAAGCAAAAATAGTAACTTCCCGGGTACGACGGGCTTCTCGAGGGCTCCAGACGCAGTCGCGAGTCAGTTAAGTGTCAGTCCAGTCGACAGGAAGCGCGAGCTCCGACGTTGGGAGAATGCAGTTTCTTCACAAATGTACCGCTAACTCAGTGTCGTAACATCTTAGCTCGACGTCCTACACACTCCTGAAAACATTTCCAACCACTTCTCAATGGCTGAAAGACTTCCAAACACTCTCTGACTAACGCTTTAGTGCTCGGGATCAGCTATCAGTTGATCGACGTTTTTTTTCCATTTTCGATGTGATGTTTCCAAGAAAAAATATCTGGGCCAAAAAGTTGGTCTGGTCATGGCTGGATCGTACAGATCAGTTCTGCCTGCCCTTCAATGGAAGCAGACTACGGATGACACTCATGACAAATGGCACCACAACAAATACATTATCATAATATTAGTTTCTACACATATTGACATTGTATTGTCAGAAACAGTCAGAAGAATGCTGATAGCTCTAGTGACATCCAACATCCGGATATTTAGCTCATCATCACGTGTATGAGTGAATTTCTGTAAGGACGAACTATCACATTGCCAAATTTCCAAATTCATTCAAGTTGGGTCTCTTTTTCACTGGTTGGCCTACATCTCCCTCTATGATATTTTCGCAGAGGAACCCTCCGTTCATTGGCTATTGGACAAAGTCAAATATCTGCCTAAAGTATGCACTGAAACAAGGAACAAAAATTAATGAAGAAGGGCTGAGCCTTCCTGCAGCTTCATCTGTGAAAAGAATTCGGGTCGACACACCCATTCCCATAGCGCTGCATATCACATCCGAACCAGTTCCGTTATTTTACAACGTTTCGGCACTTGACCATCATCAGGTAATAACAATGAATACCGTGAAAGCCACACAAGAGCAGTATATACGCAGAGTGTAGGGCCAAAAAAGATGCGAATTATGTCACCTAGTATGACAGAGAGAGAGAAAAGGCGCAACTAGCACATCACGGAGGAGAAGCAGCAGAAGGTAGCGCGCATTGTGCTCTGTGAATGGCGTTGCGCAGAGTGTAGCGCCAAAAAATAAAATGATGCGAGTTATGTCACCTCCATCTCAGATGGATTGACAATATTAAGTGTGATCTAAAGCACGCCAATATTGATATTTCTGACTGTTTTGAACTGGCTCTAGACAAGAAAGAATGGCTGATGCTTGTGGAAAATGTGCTGCGCTTGCGTAGTTGTTCTTACTGCGATACGTTCTAACAATAATGAGATGCCTTTTGTCGGCTCTTCTGCCTGGATTTCGTTGACAGATGCGTTAAGCCCATGGATCCTTCCATGAGTGACATGCGAACTGTAACTATTATTATTATTGTGGAAGAGAAAAGGACATATGGATACGAGTTAAGAGTAACTCTCCATCACTGTAACATGATACTATATACAGTCAGAAAGTGCAATAACTAGGCACAAAACTGACAGAGTACTGAAACATTCGACGTCCTGACACCTAGCTTCAACACATCTCCTCTTAACTCGTATCCATATGTCCTTTTCTCTTCCACATTTATTTATGGCTCAACATCCGAGTTTCAAATTATTATTATTATTTGGAAAGGATTGGGAGAACTTCATATTCAAAGGATCAGTCGGGGAAGTGAACTGCTTGAAAAGAGAAAAAAACGCCAGACCCACCAGGACTCGAACCTGGGACCCTGCTTGTCATGAGCAATGCTCTAACCACTGAGCTATGGGACCAGGCTGAACCCAGAAGGCGCTGACAAGTTTTTCACTCCAAAGGCAGCTCACAACACGTGCCACACATACTGATGGCACTTGGGTCTTTTTCCCTCCCCCTTTGGAGTGAAAAACTTGTCAGCGCCTTCTGGGTTCAGCCTGGTCCCATAGCTCAGTGGTTAGAGCATTGCTCATGACAAGCAGGGTCCCAGGTTCGAGTCCTGGTGGGTCTGGCGTTTTTTTTCTCTTTTCAGGCAGTTCACTTCCCCGACTGATCCTTTGAATATGAAGTTCTCCCAATCCTTTCCAAATTTAATCACTTTCTTTCACCTCTGGTAGTTTCCAGAAACTGACCGTGGTTGGTCCCCTGGGGGAGGGAAAAAGACCCAAGTGCCATCAGTATGTGTGGCACGTGTTGTGAGCTGCCTTTGGAGTGAAAAACTTGTCAGCGCCTTCTGGGTTCAGCCTGGTCCCATAGCTCAGTGGTTAGAGCATTGCTCATGACAAGCAGGGTCCCAGGTTCGAGTCCTGGTGGGTCTGGCGTTTTTTTCTCTTTTCAGGCAGTTCACTTCCCCGACTGATCCTTTGAATATGAAGTTCTCCCAATCCTTTCCAAATTATTATTATTATTATTATTATGTCACCTCTATACAGAGGGGGGGGAGAGAGAAGGTGCAACTGTGCA